AATGCGAGGCGATGGCACTTCTCTCTATGCAACCAGGTTTGTATCCAGTATGAAGTTCAACATCAGAATGCATATGACTTCATGTTCTTTGTTGTAGGATCAGTGCTAAAACAATCATTTTATCCTCAAAGCTGTTACCCAGTCCTACTTTCTAAATCTCTTGCTATCATCACTTCAAAATGTATTTATTGGGTTTCTGTTTATTGCCAGTTATAGTTCCTGGAAAGTTTTGATATCATCAGAAAAGTGACTGAAAAAACTATTTACAATTAGTTAAACATTATAGGATTTCCACAGCTTATTGAATACATTGTTCTACAAACTGTAAAACTGAGGTACCACATAGTAACTATAAATACTTTCCAATTGTACATTGGCAGGAAATGTATACTAGAAGGTGGTCGTAGTGGCTCAGTGGTGTCCTCTCTCTGTCAAGACCATCTTACATGCACATAAGTATCAGTCCTCATTCTGACTGATAAAACTGGCCAAGGGAGAAGTAGGCCGTGTTGCCTTTTTTTTTAATCTTTCTCCATGACTGACCCCTATGGAAAGGAACGGTCTCTGTTAATCAGTAAGAACTGGATTTATCAAGCACACTTATATCTGGGACAAAGCCAATAGGAAGGAGAAGATAGGACCATAAAAAAGGCACACAAGCTGGGGCTGCCTTCGGCTCAGATCATGATCCCAGGGTCCTGGGATCGAGTCCCGTAACTGGCTCCCTGCTCAGCAGGGAGCCTGCTTTTCCCTCTGTCTGCCACTCCCTCTGCTTGTGCGCGCTCTCTCTCTGGCAAATAAATAAAATCTTAAAAAAAAAAAAAAAAAAAGCACACAAGCCAACACGGCTATACTCAGGCTCTGTTGGCAAAAGGCTGTAGTGTCTTCCAGGCTGGAGTTTTATACTGGATCATAAACCCACTTTTATAGCATAGTTAAAGAAATGATATTTACTGTTCTTGTTAACTACCGTCATTTGTTCCAAACAGCTTTATATAACCACCTGATTCTCTTCCTGTGCCTTAGAAAATTGATCCCTACTTTCTCTACTTTTTGGCATTTCCCTTTATCAATTCCATACAATTGGAGTTAGGAAGTGAGAAGAACCTATGTATATAAGAAGTACATTTCCTTTTCTAGATTAAAAAATAATAGTAGAAAAATATTTTGTGCCAACCAATTATTGCTGGACAGATTACCTAAAGAAACCCTTGAGCAGTGGCTATTAAGAAATGTTTATACTCAGATCAGACACTCCACATCCTAATGATTACAGCTGTCCTGATGCAGTTATCTGTCTTGGGCTAACATTCATTAGGTCTAGATTTTTCTGTGTATTTACCTTAATACCTATACTTTGTCTTTTCTCTTTGGGAGAATAATTGTGTTTTTTGCCACTTATGTTTGATTTTTCACCTCTAACTTTAGTTTCTGCCTTTTCAGTGGGTTCCTTATAGAATACATCTATATATATGGATGTGAATGAAAGGAGTTGTTAGAACAGACAAAAGTGCAGGAGAACACTGACAAGAGCACAGGGTGAGGCTGGAGACCTAGAGTTTTGTTCTGAGACCACAACTACCACTTACCCTCCCTGGGCCGTGGGTCCCTACTTTGAAATAAGAGGCCTGAAGTAAATGACCTGGCATTCCTTCCTGCTTTCAAATTCAGGTTCTACAAACTCAGCCTAGAGCTTTTTTTCTTTCTTTTTCTTTTTTTTTTTAAAGATTTTATTTATTTATTTGACACAGAAAGAGACACAGCGAGAGAGGGAACACAAGCAGGGGGAGTGGGAGAAGGAGAAGCAGGCCTCTGGCAGAGCAGGGTACCCGATGCAGGGCTCGATCCCAGGACCCTGGGATCATGACCTGAGCCAAATGCGGGGCTCGATCCCAGGACCCTGGGATCATGACCTGAGCCGAAGGCAGACGCTTAACAACTGAGCCACCCAGGTGCCCCTAGAGCTTTTTTTATATTCTCCTTTTTTATTTCATTGGACCAAAAGGCTTCTCTTTGTTTTGTCCTTGGCCCAAACCAAAAATCCAATAGGGGTGTATATTTGTGACTTCATCTGGGGGATAATCTATACTTGTGTTCACAACCTTTTTTTTTTTTATTTTTCATTGTAGCCCTGCTGTCAGGAACTTTTTTAGCCTATTTTTCCTACTTCCCCACCTCATGAAATTTTAATATCACAAATATCCTGTACATCTGTATGTATTGTATGCATGTATGTGCTTTATACATAAAGAGAGTAAGATTTGGGGGCGCCTGGGTGGCACAGTCAGTTAAGCATCTGACTCTTGGTTTTGGCTCAGATCGTGATCTCAGGGTCATGAGATTGAGCCCTGCATTGGCTCCACACTCAGTGTGGAGTCTGCTTAAGACTCTCTCTCCCAATCTTTCTGCCCACCCACCCCCCGCTTGCACGCTCTCTCTCTCAAAATAAATAAATCTTAAAAAAAAAAAAAAAGTGAGATTTTTGTTGTTCTTTAAGAGCCAGCTTTTGCCTCTGTTGCAAATGCATGCTCTATGTTATATTAGGATCACAAGATGGGGACTAAAGACATTTTGATGATCCCCAACATTTCAAAAGATCTAGGAACTTTTGAAATCTTCCCACGTCATACATTGTTAACCAAAGATAGCTTTAATTTTAAATTTCAGTATTTTCATAATTTCAACCTGAAATTTCATAGTTTATGGTTTGTTTTTCATTAATTCATACTGGATGCAAACTGAGTCTTTCGTACTTAATCAGAGAAAAAAGTTGAATTTTTGTCAAGGGATTTCATGGTCTTTTACAGTGCTTTAGAAGGTATTGCTTATGACTGATTGAAGACTCTGAAAGTCCTTGATGGTGCTAATAGAAGAGTAGCTAAAAGGGCGCCTGGGTGGCTCAGTCGCTGGGCGTCCGCCTTCGGCTCAGGTCATGATCTCGGGGTCCTGGGGTCGAGCCCCGCATCGGGCTCCCTGCTTGGCGGGAAGCCTGCTTCTCCCTCTCCCCCTCCCCCTGCTTGTGTTCCCTCTCTCACTGTGTCTCTCTCTGTCAAATAAATAAATAAAATCTTAAAAAAAAAAAAAAAGAAAGAGTAGCTAAAAGATACCAGTGTAGCTGCCACATCGCCTGTGTTTTGAATATGTTCTTTAAGAAAAAAAAGAAAGTATACTGCAGAAAAGTGACACTTAGGTGATTCTTCCCAGTAGAGGCTTAATTAACAAATCATTAAGCATTTACCTACAGACACTTTGCCTAGAGCTATTTTAGTTAGTTACTACTACTTTTCCCAGAGTTTATTTTGTTTTTTTAAATCTTCCACAGTACTTTTATTATTATTGCTTTTCCCAAAGCTATTTTTATTACTATTACTTCATATCAAAGTATGGTGTTGGGATAATAGAATCATGGGTAGTGGGTATAATAGGACTTCTTAATTAGAAAAGCCTCATTACTCTTAAATAGGTAAAACAAATTTTTACCCAGATCTGCTTAGTAACTCTTAATCTATGGCCTTTTTTTTTTTTTTTCAGAGATCTTGCAGCTGCTATAGATCGAATGGACAAGTATAATTTTGATACAATGATTTATGTGGTAAGTAATCACAATAAAAAAAAAGGTTACGATCTCTACCTGATGAGAACCACAAAGATAGAAATTATATACCATGTTGAAAAACTATGGAAAAATAATTTTGTCAAAATATAAAAGGAATTCGGTTTTAAGTTTAAGGTGGAAACCACTATGTTAAAAGAAAAACAAAACTGAAAAGTGAAAATATTCACATTGCATCATAATTTTTAAAAAATTACCCAAATCGGGAAAATGGTTATGTAAAATGAGTATGTACAGGTTACCATAATGCACTTTTTAAAAAATAACTTTATTTTAAATATTTAAGACTCACAAGTTTTAAAATAGTACAGAGTTTCCATGGACCCTTCACTCAACCTTCTCCAAAGATAATATCTTACATAACCATAGTACTTTGTCTATACTAGGAAACTGACATTGGTAAAGACCTTAGTTAAATTCCACCAATTTGGGGGCACTTGGGTGGCTCAGTCAGTTAAGCATCTGACTCTTGATTCCCACTCAGGTCATGATCTCAAGGTCCTGAGATTGAGCCCCGCACCAGGCTCCGCCGCTTCTCTCCCACTTTCTCTCCCTCTGCCCCTCCTCCCGCTTGCACATACACACACTCTCTCTCTCTCTCCCTCACTAAAATAAATAAAATCTTCTAAAAAAAGAAATTCCACCAATTTTTACATTTACTTGTGTGTGGGCCTAGATATGTTGGAGGGGGCTTGTGAAATTGTATCACATGTAGATCACATAACCATCACAACATTCAGAATAGACAGCTGTTCCATCATGAAACAAACTCCCTTTTGGCAACCACTTAATAATTACCCTTTACCCCCTACCCTAACCCCTGGCAACCATTGCTCTGTTCTCCATCACGACAGTGTTGTCACTTTGAAAATGTTATATAAATGGAATCACAGTAGGTAATCTTTTGAGATTGGCTTTTTTCACTCAGCATAATGAATGCCTTTTGAGATCCACCCAAGCTGTGGTGTGCATCAGTAGTTTGTCCCTTTTATTGCTAAGGGTTATTCTGGTCTCTCCCCTTTCCTTCCTCTCCATGTGCAACTTCCCTTTCCCCTCAGAAAAGAAGTTGCCATTAAATATCTTATTAGAGCTGAGCTTTGTCCTTGGAGATAAAGGTCATGATAGCTGAAGGAGAAAGAATTTAAATAGAATACTCAGGAGATTAAAGTTCCTATTTCCTCTTGACTCAGTGGAGTGCTGCAGCTTTTACTTTCTTCTCACTCAGCTTAGACCTTCTACTGGCATCTTCTTTGTGTACTTATTTAAAATACATCAGTTGACAATGACTCTAGTGTGTCAAAACTCAAATATTTTGATTTATGCCCCACCTATTTTTGTAGGTTAACTTATCATTGTTATTTTAAATACATTTTTTTTTCCCAAGACAGATAAAGGGCAAAAAAAGCATTTTCAGCAGGTGTTCCAAATGCTGCAGATCATGGGATATGACTGGGCAGAAAGGTAATGTCTACATGGTTCGTAACTGTCTGTTCAAGATCATTAAGGATTTGTTAGGTCAGCCAAGTCCCAAAATATACCAAGTTGTTAAAGGTCGTCATTCAGATTTCACTTATATATTTCAAGGTATCAGTGTAGAAGCAGGTTTGTTTTTTACATTGACTTATGTCCTGGTGATACTCATTTCTAACTTACAAACATTTAACAAATGTGTCTTTATTAGACATCTGCTCTCAGTGGCTTGATTTCCAAAATTCTTAATCCCTCCTTTTTTTTCCACAAAGGCAACTAGTAATTTAATCACATCGTAGTGATTATCTCTGTAAAATGAAGCTGTGTGTTTAACATCTCTTGTGGCATATAACAAATCACATCCTATTTCAGTTGATTAATTTTGAAAAGTCCCTCTAAGAGAGTTGAAGTTCAGACTACTCTGTGAAAGGGTATTATCGTATGCTTTGATCATCTGTTCTTTTCTCTTCCATTTCAGGTGCCAGCACGTGCCCTTTGGAGTGGTGCAGGGAATGAAGACTCGAAGAGGAAATGTTACTTTTCTGGAAGATGTTCTAAATGAGATTCGGTCGAGGATGCTACAGAACATGGCTTCTATTAAGAGTGAATTCACTTTACTGTTGTTACAGTCATAACTTATGTGCCACTTGGATGTTTTGCGGGACTTCTGTGCAGCGCGATTGATTTTGACCATCTCTCTCTTCATTTTCACTAACCTTGTCAAAAATAGCTCGCACTAATTAGAGGTGCCAGAGGTTTTAGACTTGCTGCTTGGTGTCATTCAGTTCAATAATCTGAATTGATACGACCCTAGGCCTCTTTTCATGGACAGCTTCAGCGTTGTCATTCCACTCTTGGAGTGGTTATGTGAAATTCCCATGTTACGTTATAGGAAACAGGTCACAAGTACTCATGGCTTTGTTTAACCTTGGAAAAGTAAGTACCAGTTTTAAGCTAATGTCTCATAAGGGATATTTATGAGAAAGGTGAATTTGTGTTTCTTTCCTTTTAATGTAGGCAAGGGAGTGTCTTTATCCAAGGTAAATTAGCCCAAATTAGGAAAGTAAATTGCCCACTGTGAACCTGTTTGTTCTTCTTACTGGCAGCATACATTTTTGGCAGATGTTACCAGAATCGCTGATTCTGTACAGTTTCATGTAAGTTAAAGATAGCTGCCTTTGTCTGTTCCAGCTACCAAAGAACTGGAGAACCCACAGCAGACTGCAGAGAGGGTCGGGCTCGCCGCACTCATTATTCAGGTCTGTTAAGACTGCCGCCTGTGAGACCCTTTTGTTTGGTACTAGAACAAACCCCAGTGCTAAAAATGTACTCTTGTCATTCTAGGACTTCAAAGGTTTACTCTTATCTGACTATCAGTTCAGCTGGGATCGTGTTTTCCAGAGTCGTGGGGACACAGGAGTCTTCCTGCAGTACACGCATGCCCGCCTCCACAGGTGAGGGGCGTCTGCTGGAAACGCCGAGCCCCTCTCTCCTTCCCAGCGTGGGCGGGGCTGGTGTGCTCTGAAGACCAAAGGTCCTGTTTGCTAGGCTTCTCCAATATCTCATATCCAAAACTAGTTAGAAGGACAGTGGGCCACCTGTTAGGTTTGGTTTTTCAAATGTTTATTGAGCATCTCTGTAAGAAGTGCTTTTATGTACATTACCTTATTCAGGACTCAGAATAACGCTGCCAAAGAATATACTCCCATTTTCAGAGGAAGAAACAGAGTTGGGAAAAATTGAGGCGTTGTGACAAACTTGCAATTATGTGTCGTTGGATGACTTGTTTAATCCCTTGTTGTTTTTAAACTTTTGATAACAGTTTGGAAGAGACTTTTGGATGTGGTTATCTGAATGATTTCAACACTGCTTGCTTACAAGATCCACAGTCTATTTCCATTCTCCAGCATCTTCTCAGGTATGGTTTTCTAGTCGTATTGAGTCTGCACCTGCTTAGTGAAATGACTGTTGATGGTTTGCTGACCACTGGAGTGAACAAGCCAGCAGCTGGCTCCTGCCACCAGACAGCACTTTCCCGAAGGTCTGGCCAGAAAGGGATTACCTGCCCTTTGAAGGCGGACAAAAGAGGACACAGTTAAGGTCAGTCCTTGGGACTTAAAAATATCACTGCTGCATCAGTACAGATGCCTGACGTCCTCTGGGTCGTGGTCTGAGAATGGAAACCTGGTAAAAGCATCAACTTTTCGTTTTGGAAAAGATCTTCTCCTCACCCTCTTTGGTAAGTGAAGGAGAACCGCTGTCTGTGTGCAGCTTCCGTGAAACCGTTAAGTCCTTCCTCTGCCTCATGGTTTCCATTCACAGTCTCCGACATCTCCTTGATGCCCTGACACTGGGCAAGGGACCACACCTTTGAGCTCTCACAAGCATTGGTGGCAAAGCCGGACTTGACAGGAGATAGTAGTCTCTGGAAAGGATGTGGGTAGTTAAGGCAGTTTTCTCCGATTGCCACACAGTGGTCAGTGGCTCTTTCCTGGGATCAGAGGAGTCCGTTTTCTCACATTTGACTAATTTGTCAGAAAAAATAAGCCAACCTGGTTTTCTTGGTATTGAAGGTAGACTCTGTTTGCTAGTTTCTAGATTATGGTCCTAAACATGGCTATAGGCTTTTTACATTCAGTTTAACAGCCTGAGTCCTTGTTCCGGGCTAGGCCTAAGGGATATCAAAATGATTTAGAGAGTACCTGCCATCAAGGAATTTGTAAGAAAGAAAAATGTGCCTTTACCTTAAAATGCACACAAGGTCTTTTTTCATATTCTACTCTTTTTTTTTTTTTTTTAAAGATTTTATTTATTTATTTGACAGAGAGACAGCGAGAGAGGGAACACAAGCAGGGGAAGTGGGAGAGGGAGAAGCAGGCTTCCCCCCAAGCAGGGAGCCCGATGTGGAGCTCGATCCCAGGACCCTGGGGTCATGACCTGAGCCGAAGGCAGACGCTTAACGACTGAGCCACCCAGGCGCCCCTCTACGCTTTTTTTTTAGAGAGAGCAAGAGCACGGTAGGGGCAGAGGGAGAAAGAGAGAGAAACTTAAACAGGCTCCACGCTGGGCAAGGAACCTGATGCAGGGCTCAGTCTCACGACCCCAGGATCACAACCTAAGCTGAAACCTCGAGAGTCAGATGCTCAACCGAATGAGCCACCCAGGCACCCCTATACCTTCTACTCGTAATGCTGTCCAGTCAACCTTACATCCAAGATCTTAACATCTTAGCTTAGTGTAATATGTGCAGTCTTCCCTCGCCAACCGTTCCTGTCATCTTTCTTTTAGGTTCGACGAGGTGCTTTGTAGATCATCTCAGGACCTTCAACCCAGGCACATTGTCAGTTACCTTCTAACTCTAAGGTACTTTATAACCTTGCTGTTTTCAGGTATTAAAGACATCAGAGACCAGACCTGACAAAGAACCTTTGTTTCTTCTAAAGTTTTCTTATAAACAAATCCCTTGGCCTAAAAAATGAGATGCCTTAAGTTATAGGAATTCTTGCTTCATCTTTGCAAATCAGCAATTAATGTTCATTTATTCATTCAGTGATATAAGGTGCAGTCACTGCAGTCTGGTGATAGGAAACAACAGCTTCATCACAGGTAGTTACATAACAGCACATACGTGCTCGGATAGAGTGGACATAGGAGACAGTGTTAGGGCACTCAGCCCGGCCTTGATGGATGAAAGAGGGCTTCTCGGAGGAGAGGAGTCGATATTAATCAGGAGAAGCAAGGTGGCAGAAAAAGAAGAAAAAGCCCAGAGCGGAGCAAGAACATGCTACATTAATGGAACTACAAGCATGGCCCTGGGAGGGGTGAAAAATGAGTGTGTCAAGGCCTTTTTGCATGTATTAAGGCATTTCAGCTTATTTTCAGGGCAGTGGAGTCCATAAAAAAGACTAAACAGCGACACAGAAAAATCAGTCAGCTAGAGAGTAGAGGATGAATTGGAAGGCAAATCAGTTTAATAGGAATTTCAGAGTAGCTGTTTCAGAAACTCTGAATAGAAGTTGAGTATCTTCTAGAGCAACAACTGTATCTTTCCATAAATCTATTTAAGAAAGGAAATATTTGCTTTTAGTCATGATTTACTGAAATCAGATTTATTGGTACTGTTCTCTTGATTATCCTTTTTACCTGTCTTCCCCAGATTTAAATAAATGTTTTTCCTTTAAATTCTGAGTCATAGAGAAATAAAGAAGCCAGAAAGTCTAATTAAATGTCAGTTCATCATTGAAATCAATGTCAGAAGCATCATTTCTCTAGCATATTGTTCTATTTGCTGCTCTACTTAATCAGAAAAGATACTTTAGAGAAGAGTGGCCAGTGTGTGTGCGGTGGGCCAATAACTAGTCTTACCCCGCCTCCTCACCGTACAGAGGGGGGATGTCCAGATCATGTTATAGCTTTCATCCTAAAAGAAGCCTAAATGAGAAAAACTAATCTTCAGAAAGGAATCCCCTATCTTTGTGAAGCAGTGAAATCATAATCTTAAGAACTTGAGGTATTACGACCCAAATCTAAAGTTTTAGTTGAATGTGTTTTACTTTTCCTATTACAGAAAAGCAGTGAATTCAAGTCTCAGCTTCAGTGTCGCACACATCCTTTACTGGCTCTGGGCTTGGATAGCCTTAAGTTGAGGGAGTAAGATATCAAGCTTGTGTGTTACCACAGGAAATGACGACTGGTCTTCATTTCTTCTTCCCGTTTCAGTCACCTTGCTGCTATGGCACACAAGACACTGCTTGTAAGAAACAGTCCTCCCGAAGTGGCTGGGGTACGTACGCTAAGTGTTTTCTGGGTAATCTCTGCATCCTCCGATTAATGTCACTGAGGCAGTCTTGTAAATGTTCCTAAAATAGCATCTTGTGGTTCGGCTACAGTAGTGTACTTACGGACTCAGGTGGTAATTCGAATTGGACTGTAACAGTGTTGATAGACTTTCCAACACTGGACTGTGAAACGCATCTTCCTACATCAAGTGTTCAGGTGAGGAGTTCCCCTCATCTGGAGCTGTACTTCAGATATAATGATACCGTCACTCCCACTCCCCAGCTCTTGGGTAACAGTCATATTATAAGGAATGCTAGGAATCTGTCTTCCCTTGCCGACAGCAAACGCTGGGGCACTGAGATACTGTTCCTACTTTAAGTTAGAAGAAAGTTAGAATTACTTTTAAAAATGTTCTTTATTCACTTATAGTTAGCCTGTTGTTGAACTGAACATTTAATCATTCTTTGTTTTATTTCATAGGCCAGACTTCATCTTTTCAGAGCTGTGCGTTCTGTCCTAGCCAATGGAATGAAACTTCTTGGAATAACACCTGTATGTAGAATGTAATTTCTAATTAAAATAGCTTTCTAAATACCGAGTGAATTCTAGTTATCTATTCTTATATGCCTTGTTTAGAATTTAAACTGTTATTCTGTATCAGAATCTATGTTTTAGTAAGCCTAAGTGATTTCTCAACTTATTAAATCTTTATCTAAAAAAAAAATCACTTGAGTTCCCTGCTGGTCAGTAAGTACTTACTAAACAGAGTTTTATAAAACTAACCCAAATCTTCTAAAATTCACTGCAGTCTAATGGGGATAAAAGATTAGATTTTAAGCTCCAGCTTGAGGTTTTCACTGCATCATTCTTCCAGAAACTGTTCTTATAAGTGAGATTACCTCATGTTTGCATCAGATAAAATTGATAAAAGCAGTTTCAATTTTCTTATAATAATGGCTAGTTCTGAATCAATTTAGGGAGACCAGAATTAAACCTTTTTGCCTATACAGCTGACAGCCACTCCCAGAGAACAAATGTCATGCTTATCTTCCATTGATCTGTACAGGTAACTCTTACTGCATGAACTTGGGAACTGAATAGATTGGAATAACAAGGAATTACTTGTACACATATTGTACTAGGATCTTTTTATAAAAATTAGTCCATTAGTTAAACCAGAATTTGAAATGGAGTTTCTCAAACCATTTCTTTCATGTACCTGCCTATTGGTCAAGGGTATTTTGTATGATTTGGTTAAGTGGGATGTGGTCTGTTCAGTCAGTACGGCTATCCTCATCTGCCAGTATTTCCATTCAGACTGCTATCATTTATCCTAAATGTTGCTACTAGAAGCCTTCTGAATATTACTGACAATCTACTTTTACGAATAGAGAAGCAAATTAGCATGAACCAAAGCTTCTCTAGTTGAATGAACATAGTTTTATATTGGCAAGTATGGTACACCTTCTTAGTCCTAGAGAAGACTCGTCCACGCAGTCTCAATTTTAAATGCGTTAGCTTCCAGAATACTAATTTTTACTTGAAGTATCATTTCCTTAGCACAAACCAGCCATGGAATAAAAATGTACAATTGGGACATGTTTTTCATGTCCTATATCCTTCTCTACTTGTCTGGAAAAATGTTCCCCTTCCCAGATCTGTGGTAGCCACCTCAGTATTTGAATCTTGAGTGAAATGACACGGGGACAGGGATGGTTAGAGCCCAGTCTTTCCAAAAGCAGCTCCCTGAAAAGATCGTACATTATCTCCTACAACCTAGAGCCCTACTGCCCTGATTGTAGTCCTTATAAACGCTCGTTTTTGCTGAAGGCTAGCCAAGAGAACCCTAAAATTCCAACATAGAAAAAATGAAAAATTTAATGTTTCGGGTTTTTTTACATTTTGCATTATCTTAACTTAATGGTTATAATCACAATACAAAAAGTGTTCATAGGGCGCCTGGGTGGCTCAGTTGGTTAAGCAACTGCCTTCGGCTCAGGTCATGATCCTGGAGTCCCTGGATCGAGTCCCGCATGGGGCTCCCTGCTCGGCAGGGAGTCTGCTTCTCCCTCTGACCCTCCTCCCTCTCATGCTCTCTGTCTCTCATTCTGTCTCAAATAAATAAATAAAATCTTAAAAAAAAAAAAAAAAGTGTTCATAGATTCCATATAAATAAATTTATTGCTGAATTTTCCCACTAACATTATAGAAAATTTTTTTAAAAACACTGAAATTTCACAAATTGACAGCCCAGTAGTTTTAAACATACTTTATAAAAAAAAGTACAAAAGTGACATTAGAAATATTTTTTGAAGAAAAGTAGATCTAACTGCAAAGAAACATGAATCCAGACAATGAATGGCACAAATACAGCACTTAGAGGAGTACTCATTCACCACCTAGAGGTCATTGTCTGCATTATGAAATAGATTCAGTTTGAGAAGTTACACATTCAGTTTGTTTCTGAACTAGCCTATCTTGGTTTTGCCTGTCTTTTGTAAGAAAAGAGCTAAGTCTTTGCTGCTGGGATGAAAATACTGTACACAAATTGGAGAACAAGGAGGGGTCGTCCTTCTCCCCTGGTACCTGAACAAGAAAACAGTTTGTACAGAAATGGCTTTGGCACTTTAACCCTTAACCTTGTCCCAAACCTTGTTACTTGAATATTGCATCCTCACATGATTTTTTTTTTTAACACACCTCCCCATACTTTTTATATACATTATATGTACAATAATAAAATTCTTTCATTCTAAAACAAAACAGGTTGACCCAAAACAGGCCACATTAAATCTTTGTAGCAACTCACTCAGATAGTTTTCTTCCTAATTCTTATGACACAGTTAACATTGTTTTTTGTTTAAGCTACCTTCTGGGATTGACTTAAGGCTCTAGTTTAATGCAGTTTAGTCTTGGTAGGAATCGCTTTTGAGGCTGAAATCACACACCACCGACTCTCTCTTTTGAAGCTATTTCTCCCTGTTGGATGGATGTAGTGTCTTGTCTGGGTAATCCATAGAGATATATAGAAACACATACAAGAAGAGTGCCCAGAGCAAAGGTGAGTGCTGAAAAGAAAAGAAAAAAAAGCTTAATATGTATTTGTGTCCTTAAAAACTATAACAATAATCAATTTTAAATTTTGAAATCTTTCAATTACAGGTTTTATACCATTTGACCATATGAAAAATAAATCTTAAGTGTTCTATTTTTATGATGGTAAGGTTTAGAGAGAGAATCAATTCTAGATCCCCATCCCTCAAACCATCCCCCCACCCCCTGCCAAAAAAAGTACAATCAATCAAGGGACTGACTACATGCTTTTCAAGAACACAAGTACGGTCTTTGTCAGTGGTCCAGGACAGGCATACAAACTTCCCTATATGCTAATTTAAAGAAAAGCAGTGGAATGTGGCTTTTCCATGGTACTAAAAACCTGTAGAAGTTCAGAATAAAAGGTAGTTGAGCAAAATTCCAAGTTAGATGACCAATGACTCAAACCAGTGAAGATTTCTGAGTAAGAGATAAGGTGGTGATTTACTGAATATAATTCCATTTTCTGTTAGGTTTATTTAAAAATCTTAATCCTGAAAATTAGGACATAAGCAATTACAGCTTGTCCAAACTTGACAAGTAGGCATTTTATACATAATCACTTATGTCAAAATCTGTGTCAAAACTGTATAGTCTGTTTAAAACAGAACCGTATTCTATATTCTATAGGGAGTACATCACAATCTCATTAGCTTTAAAAAAAAAAAAATAAAACAGAGCAATGACATCAAGCTGTGATTTTAGTTCACTCTAACTAGAGAAGACTAGCTTTGCCTTCAAAAAAAGGGAGTAAATTAAATCTAAATAGAAACCTGGAAGATTGCTAAGATGTTCTAATTAATTTCCTTGACCATCAGTAAGAACACTGACCAAAAGCATTTTTTTATGTTCCCAAGTATTCCTTAGGGACAAAACCATAAGGATTTGTTGAGCTAAGGAAGGATCAGAACTACAATTGAAAGTTCACCCAAATCAGCTAAGAAATATATCTAAGAGAGGACCTATAAATACTGATGCTGAAATGGTAAGTGGTTGGCCTCATACAGAATACTTACTGTGTGCCAGGCACTATTCTAAGCACTTCACCTGAAACAACCCTAGCAGATGGGTGATCCTGTCAGTCCCATTTTACAGATGAAGAAACTAAGACACAGGTTAAGTAACTTCCCCAAGGCTGCACAACTAATAAATAGTACAGGCAGGATTTAAACCATACTATGAAATGGTTTTTTAAGATTACAGGCTTGGCATTTCTCTCCAAGAGTAAATTTTAAAATCAAACATAGGTCTCTTAATGTCGGTATTTAACAGACTGAGGTATAACTGGTCAGTAAAGAAAATGATTATTATAGCACCCTGAAATGTTAAGTCGACATCACTGCTTAAATAAACCTAATGCTGGGTGTGGGCTAGGGGAATATATATTAGAAGAACTAGCATAGTGAGGGTGCCAGAATGCCAGGAATGGTACTGAAATTTGTATTAGTTACGTATTAAATGAAACAAAGATATCTTTAATTTAGATTTGGATTTTGCTTCAAAACCAATTAATACCCAAGTCCAAAAGTTAGGAAGGTACAAACTCAGGGGGAAATGAAAATTTTTTGTTCTTGGGGCACGAGTGGCTCAGTTGTTAAGCATCTGCTTTCAGCTTAGGTCATGATCCCAGGGTCCTGGGATCGAGCCCCACATCGGGCTCCCAGCTCAGCGGGAAGCCTGCTTCCCCTTCTCACACTCCCCCTGCCTGTGTTCCCTCTCTTGCTGTCAAATAAATAAAATCTTTAAAAAAAAATTTTTTTCTATTCTTTCCTCATCATAGAAAGCCTTGTTTAGGGAATGATTGTTTTCAGCAGTGCAATTACAGTAAAGTCCTTGTATTCATTTCCCTGCATACCTAATGACACTATATTCAAGTTGTTTTGTATCTCAAACCTGGGGACTACAAAAGAGCTCCTCAGTAGCCCTCTCATTTTCAGTAGAACCAGCGCCCCCCCAGCATAAGCTCTAGGACCACTGCAATCACCTCAGTACTGCTGACCCACATCCCATACAACTAGAAACTAACAAAACAAGGAATTTAGGTAAACACTATGACCAATTGCCATATTTAAGAATAGATGAAATGAATCAACAAGTGGGAAGCTCTTCTATGTTAAAAACTTAAAAATACAGACGAAGACATACTTATCTGTAACCCAAACAGCATCACTGAAGCGATGGTAGAAAGGACAATGGCGGCTGCCGCAGAAAAGCCTTTCATGATGTTGTCTGTGTACTTGACCACAACGGAAGTGTAGAGGCCTCCAACACTTGCAAGAACTTGTATACACAAAGAAATAAAATCTTAACACGCAAATAATGAAACATTCTATGATGGTGAGTCAATTTTCACCCCCAGAGATGCCATACTAATTTACCTAGGAAAATGCTATTTTCCTTACAAGTAGCCATCTGAGAGAGTTTATACTAAAATCGAGTAAGTTACTATAAAACAACATTGTTTTTCACATGCCCAGAGGGCTATGTGGTCTACTACTAAATTGTACACATTTAATGCTAACACATCAGATATTTTTGATTGTGAAGGCAAAACTGCTTTGGGATAGCTATGCCACAAAAGTCAGTCAATAAAACCAAAATTACAGGGGCGCCTGGGTGGCTCAGTTGGTTAAGCGACTGCCTTCGGCTCAGGTCATGATCCTGGAGTCCCTGGATCGAGTCCCGCATCAGGCTCCCTGCTCGGCAGGGAGTCTGCTTCTCCCTCTGACCCTCCCCCCTCTCATGCTCTCTCTATCTCATTCTCTCTCTCAAATAAATAAATAAAATCTTTAAAAAAAAAAAAAAAAAAAAAACCAAAATTACATTTTCAAACTGGTGTTCACAGTATCAAAGGAACAATTTCAAAATGCTATAAAGGCTTAAAACAGACAACTTTTTTAAAAAAAGGACTACCCAGAACTTCTAATTCCTGGATACTTACAAATGACAAACCAGACATAGTATGTGTAACCATAGAAAAATCCTTTTTCATTAATTTCCGCTCCATCTGACAAGTAGACGCCAACTAATGTCACAACGATCCCTGAGAGATACATCTGAATGTTTCTCACCCAAAGGGAAGTGTCTGAACTCTTTAAAACTTTTTCAAAATACACTCCTGAAAAAAAAATTAGGTATGCCAATATAAAAGATAGTATTAAAAATTAAAATGCCTTTCATTTAGAACAATAACAATAACAGAGGTATGATAAAGTATATGATTCAGGGAACAAACACATTTTACATCAAATACACATTTATTTTGTTGGTTGTGACACGTGGCATATAAAATCTTACCAACGTGTATTTTTTATAGAACATATAAAATTAATAACTAAGAGGGAACTTTCCAACCCACATTTAACAGGAGACTCGTAAATTATTGTTAAGAACAGTTTCTGCCTTTATTATAGCAGTAAGCTAGATCACAGAAGCTCTCTGTTAATGCCAATAATAGACTTGCTTTGGTCAGCTGGAAAACTATACTATTAGAGTCAATTTTCTTAATCATATCCCTGTAATATCTGCGTAGTAATGAAAACTCCCAGCTCTGCAAAATAACCTACATAATCACCACTTGAGATTTTTTCAGAGTAACACAACCAAAATAAAATTTAAATAGAACTTGCTGAGTGAATCCATTTTTCTTTAAAGTAGGGTTCCACAAGCCAAGTTCATACATGATGTCAGAAGGACCATAAACTCTCTCACTAAGTAATACATTTTGTGTATACATTCATTTTCTTGGGGTCCACAGTTTTTTTTTTTTTTTTCAGATAGAGCAAATGACTCCTCACCATATATATCCAAAATCACATACCACTGCTGAAGTTTTATACTTAAAATGAATACATCTATACAAGGACACCAAAGATTTTCATTATAACTAGAATTTATATAGACTTAGAAACTGCCATTCAAATACTAATCAACTAAAAATTCTAATGAAAAACAAGACTGTTTTTGGTGAATGTGTGTTAGAAAAAGCCAGAGAATGGGAACATATGGCTATTCCTATTCCCATTTTTTAATATTCTGTCTGGGAAAACTACTTAACTATTAGGTGCTCAATTACTCCAAGCATAAAGGGATATTAAACCACCCACTGTTTCTTAAATTGTGTATTGAGAGGTTGAACTAAATAGAATGTTGGACACAAACATTTAATTATTCAAAATGGTGCTAAAAGTCTAGTAGCATATTATTTTTTGGGTAACTCAGTTTTTGTTTTCTAATTTGCAGGTTCCTAGAATAAAAATTTAGCATGATGCTATCATTAAGTATATTCCTAAATTTAGATTTTTTCCCCTTATCAAACATCTTTTTTTACAAGCAATACTTCACTTCCATCTCCAGCCTACTTTCCTAGTCAGAAGAATCCTAACTCTTGAAATAGCACAAATAAAGATAAATAATAAAAACACGCTATAACTAATATACTCTTTATTAAAAAGAACTTTTAAGGTTCTTCTCTGTTGGAACTATTTCTAAAACACGTTGCCCTTAACATTCATACCTTGTCTCGATTAAGTAGAGGATTTCTTATCCCTACACATAGGACTCTAGACGTCCATGTTTATTTGATGTTAGTGACTTTGGTTCTCTTCCCTTCCTTTTTTGGCTGTTACTTCCATGTGTTAACTTTTCTGAGGCGCTCTCCACCCCACCACCCCTTTTCTCCCTACTCCGTAATTCCTAGTCTGTTAAAACAGAGGAAGAACTTGAGGTTAACAGGGAAAAACAGATACTGAGCTGGTAACTTACACCCTAAAGCAGCAGAAACTTGCCTGAAGAAAGTGCCATTTCCAGGAAAATGGGAAGAGGTACTTAGGCTTTCTAACTGTTAACTTCCTCCATTTTCAGAGCCCTCTGTTCATCTACTTTTGGGCTCCTAGCTGGACTGCGGATGGCAAGCATGACGGACACATGTTCTCATGTGGCTGCAAGTATAAGTAAGGCCTGAGATCTGAACTGAAATACAGCCGTCCGTACGGTTACAGAGAACCAGCTGGCACGATACTCTTAAGTAGGAGAATAAGTCTCACTGGGAATAAAACTGTTATGATGAAATAAGATAAACTAGATCCCTATTTAGAGTTTAGTATTTTTAAAAAAGTTTAACAGAATAAAATGATTCATTTATGATTTACCTGCAAATCCTGAGCACAATACAGCAATAGCTACGGCGCCAAACCCTAACAAGGGATTCTGTTCCACCTGCAACAGTAATGTTTTGAAAATTATTAGTGACTAACAAATAGAATTCATCCAAGAGAGCAAACAAATGATTACAAAAGTCTGTTATGGTTTTCTTAAAAGGCTGTGCCACATCAGACACAGCTATCCTATAGAATAAGATAGAAACGAAAGGCCGTCCCAGAGATTAACCAAAGCACTTACGTTACAAGATGTGTCCCTCAAACTGCAGCCATGGTGAATGCTGACCAGAACGTGTGCCTATTTCCTAACAACAATGGGCCCCCTAGCACAGCATTTTGCATAGTCAGCCTGCCTCTTAATTTTAACTTCTGCCACCACCCAAACTCAGGGACCTGATAGCATCAACCACAGAAATGGGAACAGTTTAACTCATTTATTCCCTAACACCTGCAGGATGAAGTAATGACTTTTAAGCTTTCCTGCTTTACTGAATTTTTATCAAATAATAATACCTTACTTGCTGTGTACTAGATATACTTCTTATATACTAAATGAATAAAAATGAAGATGATACACAGCTCTGGTTCTTCAGTAGTTCGTGGGTAGGACAGATTGACAGGTGTATATAATCATAATTCTGTGCTAAAAGATGCATGTATATGTGCCCTAACCTAGTGTTTCAACTTTATTTCCTCTTTCTTCCCTAAACTAATCCTCAAGGAGCTTTCCTCAGTCTTTCCTCAGAGATAAATACTATCTCAATAGTAACACTGAAACTAAAGAGTTGAGACACATGAGTATATTATGACAAGAACATACCTTATTCAAAATAAAGGAGAGTACTGCTTTATGTTAAATGAGAAAGCTTGGTATAAGTGATTGCAGCTGTTATTGCTACTATTGATTACTAGCAAAATGCTAGAGCAGATGACTTAACTTAAAAAGTTTAATGGGGTGCCTGGGTGGCTCAGTCAGTTAAGCGTCCGACTCTTGATTTTGGCTCAGATCATGATCTCAGGGTGGTGAGTTGGAGCCCCCAGGGTGGTAAGATCGCAGCTCCATGCCCAGCATGGAGCCTGCTTAAGATTCTTACCCTCTGCACCCCCCTACTGCACGCCTGCACTCTCTATAAAAAAAAAAAAAAAAAGGTTTAATGGTCATCACTGGAACACAATATGGCTTCCCTAAGAATGAGACATACCAAATTTCCTTATGAAGGGATTCCTGGTTAGCATAAGTGATGAGGGGATTCCATAAAGACAGTGTTTTGCAAGAAATTTGATAGGTTTGCATAATATTTTTGTGAACAAGACTAATGTAGTGAGAATAGCAGTACAATTCTATTCACTGCTGAGTAAATTCTCATACAACAAAGTGCTAATAAAATCAAGCTAGACCAACAACCAATACCAGCTTACCAGGTGTATGAATGAGCTCCCTTAGAAAATCCACCAAGCTCACTCAGGTCTTAGTTGACTGCAGCCCTAGCCAATATCTTGATTGCAACCTTTAAGAGACCTCAAGCCAGAACAGCCTAACTAAGGCACCCTCAAATTCCTGGCAGATCCATAAAAACTATGAGAGAGAAGGTTTATTAAGCAAGAGGGGAAAAAGTCCAGCTAAAGAGAGATCTAGAAGTATAGCCACAGCACTCTCGTCCTGTCCTGTCTAAATTTTCAGTGAAGACCCAAAGACGTATTTGTCGAATCTGTAAAACACATAACACCCAAAAGCCAAATAATGAATAATAAGGTCTGGAAAGACCTCAAAGGCCTGAACAATGAACCAAAGCTAACAAGATACACTTAATAAATAAAAAACATCCTGCATCTTGGTTTAGAAGAAGCCCATTGCACATAACACATTAGCAATAAACTATATGTGTGTGAAACAACTTTGTATATAATCAGTTATAGAATGGCTATCCTCCCCACCAAAACGTACAGGCTACTTTAACAAGTCTCTAGTATTCAGAACAAAGGAGGTAATTCACAAATTATACCTCACACTGCTCAGTCAACATCTAGAGATAGTGGGAAGTTTTAAGACTCCTGAGGAACAAGAATCAATGAATGTACCTAGAAGAAAAATACAAGGAAGTATTGGGGCAAGCCAAGGATGAAGAAATCTTTAGAAACTATATTATAGAAAGAAACAGGGGCACCTGGGTGGCTCAGTCGGTTAAGCGTCGGACTCCCTGCTCAGTGGGGAGTCTGTGTCTCCCTCTGCCTCTGCTCGTGCTCTCTCTCTCTCTCAAATAAATAAAATCTAGAAAGGAAGGAAGGAAGGAAGGAAGGAAAGGGGGAGGGGGAAGGGAAGGAAGGAAAGGGAGGGAGGGAGGGAGGGAGGGAGGGAGGAAGGAAGGAAGGAAAAGAAAGAAAGAAGGCTGTCTCAATGGGGAGGGAAAAAAAAGACTTGGATGGTGGTGGTGTGACACTGTCCTCAAACATTCAAAGGATCATCATACGGAATTAGTAGGGATTTGAGTTATTCTCGTCCTGACAAGAACAAAAAACAATGGGAGGCAGTTACAAGAAGCTGCACTTTGCTTAAAATATGAAAGAACTTTCTATAGTGGCCCAGAAGTAGGAAAGCTGCCCTATACTCTGCTTTAGCTTACTGAGCTTTTCACACACATTACCTATATGAGGTGGATCTAACATCTTTTCTAATGGTGTGAAGTGTTTCTTAAAGTTCATATTTAACTTCTGTTTGCCTTACTTCCCAATAAATTCTTTCTCTGAGGGTCTACAACTAAATTAAATGTGCAGTGAATATTTGGTCACTGTCTTGCAATGCCACCAAGAATATAAGCATGTTTAAATATCATGTGAAGACAATAAATCTTCATCTAAACCTCATGTTTGGGGGGTGAAAAAAAAAACCTCCACCTACTCTTAGGCTAGAAACTACCTAAAAAATAACTGACTTCCTACTTGCACAAGCTCTCTGTACATCCCCAACCACCTTATACTTATAGGAGAACCGTGGTCTTTTATTTGCGAAAAGGTAAAAAGTTATTTGGTTGTCGAGGGAAACTCCAGAAGGTCATTCACTAGAGTTCCACTTCCTAATCCTCTCTGGGAAAATAATCTATAAAGTATGTTACACTTTAAAAAGAGATCAGGTATGTACTTTAACAATTAACTCAAACTGAAAATTAGGAAGCCACTTTTGGCCCTATTTTAACTATTGATTATCAGTAAAAATACTACTACCCCGTAATCCCTATCACTGACCGTGGGAGTATGTACAAAGATTTTTAAAAAACTGTGAGTTGAGGGAAAAGATGAAAATTAGATGGAGAAAACCTTGCTCAGCGTTCTTTAGAAGATGTCTAAAAGAGGCCCGTGAGTTCTGAACATACAAACTGTAGAAACTGGCACAATTTTAGGCACAGGTTAGCTGTTAAGTGTGTAACTTTAGACAAGTTACTTCACTTCTTTAGACTTCAGTTTCATCCTCCATAAAACAAAGAGGGTTGATTACATTAAGGTACCTTCCATCTCTAAAATATTTTATGCATATTCTCCTCCAGAAAACTAAAGGGGGAGGGGGAGACCAATCAGTTATATTATCTTTAATCATCCTAAAGGAGAAAAAAAAAAAAAAGCCTATCTGTAGGGCAAAGATTATTTTCAAAGAAATGCAATCGTGCTACATTCATCAATGTGACTAATCTAAAGCATTATAAGACTTAAAGAAGTCTTCTATTTTAGTTATGGTGAGCATTTTGTTTCTTACCACGACTTTTGTAGCCTGGGCTGGTTCCCACTGTACAAGTATGACTCCACCACACAGCATAAAAACTGAAATCCACTGTAATTTGCTGAGTGTCCGGTTTAACATTAAAACAGTACATAAAGCAGTGCAGGGAATCTTTAATTGATAAGTCACCTAGAAACAAAACAATGAATTAATGAACTCATAACAGTCTCTGACACAAATATTTGATATTAACAGAATTATGGAGAAAAAATATAATGTGATAAAGGGTTAATAAAAATCTTTTCTCTGTAAAAACTTTGTTTTTTTAAGATTCTACACTTCTCATTGTCATTTACCTCCACTTACCTGGTATACTGCTGCATCCAGATTGCTAAGAGCTAGGAAAGCCATATTGTTCTGAACAGCATACACTAATGATGGCACACTTAACTTCATCAGTTCCTTGGGGCTCCCCAAGACATTTTCTCTTAAAGATGCCTTGAATCTACCAGGACTACCAGTTTCTCTTTGGAAACAAAAGGGTGAGAAAGAAAATTAAAGAGCATCTTTTTTTTTTTTTAAGATTTTATTTTTAAATAATCTCTACACCCAACATGGGGCTCAAACTCACGACCCTGAGATCGAGTTGCATGCTCTACCAACTGAGCCAGCCAGGCACCCCAGCAGTGTCCTTTTGATAAGATTCCTTCACACACAGAATAGTCGTATTGTGTTAGGTCCATTGCTGTAATCTAGCAAATGTATTTTTTTATAATTTTCAACTAATTTTAGATTAAAAGAAACATACCAACAACTGTATAAAAGGAAAACAATTACAAGTTCGATTTGGGAAAATATGACAATTAGGTTTACCATCATCAACCTCTGGTCAAAGCTCCAGGAGTTTTTAAGCATATTAAATAATGATATAACAGGAAACCAGAATTGCTGATATTACCTATAAAAATGTAATCCATCCCACTTTAACTGCCATTATATCCAGTTCACCCTCATTATTTTAATTAGGTTGCGTATCTATTTTTAAAGGTGTTTTTTTTTTAATTACAATAGATTTAAATTATAAACAAGAGAAAGGGTTTCATAGTTATGGAAGTTACTTGAGATAGGGATTGAGCAATTCAGGTCAATATTCTTTGTAAATTAGTTCCGTGCTTATGAAATAGATAATAAATCGAAGCATATTCTCATAAAGCTGAAGTACATATCTATAAATTTGCAGGAAATAATTTACTAATACCAACAAAAGTAAACTATATTTGTAATGTACATGGATGCATATTGATTATACATGCTCTTAACTATTCTTATTTTTTCCTCAGGAGGAACTAGCTAATCTGGTTTATTTCCCGTCTTGAAAATTTCCTGAAAATAAAAAAAAAAGTTTTATAATAAGCATCAACAGCAAAAAAGGGTCTTTATCAAAAAGGTCCTAACTGCAACTCACAATATCCTTAAGAGACAGGACCGTAATATTTCTACAAGGAGATATATCTGTTTCCACTCAAAGTTAATGACAGTCACAGTGAGCCTCTACTATGTTTGATTAACATAATCAACAGTCGTTAACTGAATTTTGTCATATTTAAATACTGCAAAAATAATTATACGTGTTCTGAAGGGGAGCAAAAAGTCCACAATGTCAAACTCATTACCTATGCCTATCCACTGTAGAACACTCCAGCCCCCAAGAAAATGCTTAAGTATGACAGGAAATTTGGCCTAGGTCATGGAAACAAAAGACATCCTTCTTAGTTATAGGTCTTCCTCTTGCCAAATTCAACATGCTCTACACCACAGTGGTAAATCTATATGCTGAAAAGGAATGCACCCAACCTGGTAGGAGACTACAAACTCTATCCAGAAGAAGGAAAGGATACCAAAAGATCACTACTGAGAAATTCTAGGTAGTAGAGTTTCTCAGGTATCTGAAGATTGGCCCTTTAAACATTTGACAGTCTTTTTAAAATGTTTAATGCAAATCTAAGATGTCCTATATACTTCCTCAACACCTTAAACTGCATTTTTTCAGAGAATGTTTTCTCTCAATTATAGAATTGAAGAACAAAATTAAAGAGAAACAAAGTAAGACGGAAGAACCACAGGAGTACAACTCAAAAGAGCTATCTTAACAGGATGATGTATTAGAAAACATACCTGAACATTTTCTTTAATGTCCTATTTCCCACTAGGAAACACAAGACAGCAGAGATACGTCTTACAGACTATGAAATACAGGACACTGCTTTCACTGTACTGTTACTTTTAATGCCTTCTAAAATACTGACATATATTGCTATTATCTGCAGAGTGGTTCCCTAAAGAACTCCTAAGAGATACCTGTTTGTACCCATTTCCCACATTCCACTGCCATGTCCATTGATCTACACTGGATTCCCCAAGCTCTAATAGGATGGCTATTATCCCTTCCCTAATCCCAGGGCAATGCCATTTTACCTCCACCCCTTAGAGATACACTAAGCCTTCAGTGATATCAAGTGAATTATTGTCTATCCAGAAAAGAGGTGGTCTCTCTATCACTGACTCTTTGCCCTATTGGAATATGGACTAGGTAAGTATCTCACTACTATTCCTAATAACCACCATGCGTGCACCAATAATCAAAATTGCTATGGTGCCCCGACACTTTTCTCCTTATCTCTTCTATTGCACTTTCAGCTTTCACATAAAAAGAAGAGCCTATGAGGCATCACTGGCCAATCTGAGTACTCCTTTCTTTCATTGCGACAAACCAGTAAATACAGAGTATCAGGACTGACCTTCAGGTCTTTGGCTCTCCTGGCTATATCCTTTGTGTTGGATGCTTAGGAGCTACTTATTCACTGCCAGGAAGGCTTCTGATGCAGATATTAGAGAACCCAAGCTATATCAGAATGTTAACTACTGGAGAGTTCAAGTTTCACTGTAGTGCTTATAATTATAGCAATATTATATAATTATAGTAAGATATTTTGAAGTTACAAAAAATAGAAAATGCTAAAATAACTTACAAAACAAAAGCTCAAAAATAGAAAAATATCAAAGTAGAATAAAGGGGCGCCTGGGTGGCTCAGTCGGGTAAGCGTCTGCCTTCGGCTCAGGTCATGATCCCAGGGTCCTGGGATTGAGCCCCGTATCACATCGGGCTCCCTGCTCAGCGGAGAGTCTGCTTCTCCCTCTCCCTCTGCTCCTCCCCTCCTGCTCTGTCTCTCTCTCTAATAAATAAATAAAATCCTAAAAAAGAAAGAATATGTGGGAATCTTAGCACACAGAAAGTTTTAAAGGAAGTAAATGATTTCAGTATTAATCAAATTAAATCCTGCTTAATTTAACACATGTATTAAAAAACTTGTATTTAGCTTTACTTGCTAAGGTTTAAAAAAATTACAATATCTGCAAGAAAACACTAGTAGTTATCTACTGTTCTACTATTAAAAATAATCAATTCTAAATATACTGTAGCCTTGAGTATACTATAAAAAGGAACACATAAAAACCAAAGGTGATTTTTTCTTCCATTTTCCTGCTCTGTTGTTTTCTCAGAAATCAAATCCTTTACTAAGTACCTTCTGTTAAAAGCAAATGTACTGGGGCGCCTGGGTGGCTCAGTGGGTTAAGCGACTGCCTTCCACTCAGGTCATGATCCCAGGGTCCTGAGATCAAGCTCCCTGCTCGGCGGGAGGCCTGCTTCTCCCTCTCTCTCTGCAGCTCCCCCTGCTTGTGCTCTCTCAATCTCTCTCGAATAAATAAAATCTAAAAAAAAAAAAAAAAAAAAACCCAAATGTACTAAATTCAGTTCTATAAATGACATTGCTAGATAAGAAAAAGAACATGTATAATCAAAAAGCACATACAAATTTTTTATAGTCTCCCATTAAATTTCTTATTTGAATAATCTGTTTTGATTTTTATCACTGTTATAGAATCTATGTGCAACCCTTTGTTACCTGAAGAAATTCTGAAGCTCCACATTGATTGCAGAGATTCCACTGCTGCCTCCCCGCCTAAAATTTCCTATCAACGGGCTGAAACCAATTCTTTCTGACCTATGTTTGGTCAAAAAGTAGGCCTCATTCTTCTAGCTCCTGATCTGACGAGAACTACTAGGAGGCATAAATTCCTTGGCTAGTTACCAAGGCACTGTGCAAAATGGAACACAGAAGTTACTCATGAGCTTAAAGTTAAATCTGGTTTATAAATTTCTTATCATCTGCAAAGTTACATATGATTACCTCACAGTAAAGACTTTGAGGGCTAGATATAAAAACCAATAATGAGGTTGAGGACAAAAATACTCCTCATACAAGGTACATGAGTTTTACTTCCTTCCTATGACCCTAAACCCATTACAACATGGGTACAAAGAGGCAGTCAAAAATGTAAACCAAGTGTTACAGATTTTATTAGAAGAACAGTATTTCTGGGGGTGCCTGGGTGGCTCAGTCATTAAGCGTCTGCCTTAGGCTCAGGTCATGATCCCAGCGTCCTGGGATCAAGCCCCGCATGGGGCTCCCTGCTCGGCGGGGAGCCTGCTTCTCCCTCTCCCACTCCCCCTGCTTGTGTTCCCTCTCTCGCTGTGTCTCTCTGTCAAATAAATAAAATCTTTTAAAAAAAAATAAAATAAAAGTTAAAAAAAAAAAGAACAGTATTTCTGGTCTTCTGGAAGAGTGACTGACAAACAGGAAAGTTTGAAAGGAAACAAAGAAAAGGAAGTTTGAAAGGTTCAGTAAATGTTTGGATCTAATGTTACATGTAGTAGTAAGTTATGAAAAAATATAAACCAAGTTTTAGCAATAAAAAGAAAATGTAAACCCAGCAAGAGAAACAGAATAGGACTGGATAATCTATAAGTATTTGACAGCTACATTATTCTAAGTAATACTAGAAAATAATTAAAATAATAATTTTTCTGGAGTAAATTATTTTCTTCAATCTTATATAATGTATTTGTTTTATTACTATACACACCCAAAATACAGTACATTTACACATCCTGCTAGATTTACTTAGTCTTTATAGACTGGTGAATAGCAAACAATAAAAGGTTGACTTTGTTCTAAGACAATGTGAAAGCTTTGCACATCTATTTCTGCATCCCACAAGTGACAGATTTAAATAAAAACTGTCAGTTTTAATAGCTATGATAGCATTTAGTAAAGCATAAGGCTAACCAGTAATTTTCCTGTGAACTACTGTAGTAACTAGTTTGAAAAACCAAAATATTTTAAATGTTCACTGTTTTATGTTTCAATCAGATTATAACTTAGAAATTGGTAATTTATAACTCAAAAGATTTTTAAAAATCAACTTAATCACATATAGAACTTTTGCAACATCAAACTGCAAATCTGTCCCCTCTCCCAAAAAATAGGATTTAGTAATTTCCTCTTCAATTTAAAAGTGATCTGATGTAATCATACATATGCACAATAGTGTATAGAAAAAGATGCCTTTGTTTAGAACCCAAATGCCCATCAACAGAGCCTAGTATATATAGTACATCCATAT